AAGTATTGTTCTAGAGGGGAAGAGAGATAATGATTTTTTGACGACTCGTACAAGACTTGTTACTAAATAGTTGTAATGTTGTGAAGGGGAGGGGGGAGTAATTAAGATGTCGAAAATGGTCAAAAGTTTCGTGACTGTTTATGGATGGATGTTTCCTAAATTAAGTTTATGGATAACTCCTAAATTAAAGGGTTCAAGTTAAAAAGTTTGATTTTATTTCTAATTTAAAAACAAAAATATCTGATTTTCTTTTGTTAACTGTTTATCTAAACCCAAATAAGTCAAAACATTTAAAACCATTTTTTTATATGTTTCACTTGCATAAGTTTATCTGTTTATATGACTTTTATGTAAAACGGCCATTTTTTACAAGACCTAAAGTTTTTATGTAAATGGACATTTTTTTTCAAGACCCAAAGATGTCTTAAAATTGTTAAAATTCAAAAATAAATAAATGACGTTCCATTATAAATTAAAATTCGCGGGAAAATGTTTCACACCAACACTTGTTTAAAAAATTCATTAATTAAATAGGTCATTACGATCTTTTTGAAGTCCTGCCCGTGTAATGTTATAAATCTTAGTGTAAATAGTATTATACGGCAAATAAAATAAAATAAAAAAATAATAATAATAAATAAAATGACTCACCCTAGTTTATGTTTCATAGTGAATTACATGTGAAAAATTTGAATTAAAATATGAACCAGCAAGAATTGCAACTCTCATATTTTACACATGAACCAATAGATTTTTGAAAAAGTTGTCGCTATTAAGCAGCCGGGTATTTTTAAATTTAATTTAAAAAACTTTATTTTCAGTTAATAGTTTTAACATAAGTAAAATTAATTTAAATCGACACATCTAACATTATAGACAGTTTCTCACATAAATATCATCAAAGTAGAATAAAAAAAAAACTTTTAATTAGAATTTGTTAAAATCATTTTTTTTTAAACCACTAACTACTCTAACTAAGCTAATTTAAATCATAAATTATAACATTTAAAACATAAAACGCTTGTTAAACAAAACGTGTTTTACCGTCAGTGTGAACGAGGTATAATTTAAATCAACACATCTATCATTACAGCACACACTCACTAAAAAAAAAAAAAAAAAAAATTTCAGTTACCGTTTTTAGAGTTTTTTTTACAGAGAAATAAATAAAAAACAAAAATAATAATCTATCGCATAATTAATCTTGCTATCGCATAATTAAATAAAAGCAAACAACAACAAATGTTGAAAAATTTTTTTTTACCACTTCTTGATATGTTTATTAAATACATGAGGACATATAAATAATTTTAAATTTATAAATATGTTTATTAAAAACCTGAGCACTTATAGATAATATACTAAAACTTAATAACAATAAAAAAATAAAAATTTAAATTACAATTTATAATTTTTATAATAAGTATTATAATAAATGTTATAATAAATTTTTAAAAACTACCAACTACTCTCATTAAAGTCTAACACAAAACAAAAACCTTTTTTCAAAAAAATAACACAAAACAATAACGCGTTTCAAAAATATTTCTAAAAAAGTTACGCCTAAAGGACACCTAAAGGGCACCATCCATTAGCAATAACCGAAACCAAAGTACTTTTTATGCTCAAAAAACAAACTGATGCTTACAAAATTACGTTAACAAAATTTAAAAAAATCAAATCATGTTTTATAATACGAGATGTAAATACAGTTTCGTTTCCGCCCATTTAAAAACTTTTTTGTTGAGTTGGTATATGAAAAGCTATCTTGCCTTGTTTTCTCTAAATGTATAAAATTTTATATAAAAGTTATTTGTAATTTAATGTTCTACCTTAAAAGGTTGAAAATCTAACTAAGGATATATCCCATATCCTACCCTACCTACCCATATCCTACCCTGAGAATTTTTTTCAGAATGTAGTAATAATTACTATTTTATCATTAACATTTTAAAAGAAAAAAATTAAAAAAAAAAAAAATCATTCATTTTTTTGAGTAATGAAAAAAAACATTTTTTATTATTATTGAATTTATTTAAATAATAACAATTACAAATCATATTAATGAGAAAATAGTAATATACAATATTTTCTCAATAAAGAAAGAAATTATTAAAAAAAAAATTTCAATAAATTTATTCATTTTTTGAGTAATGAAAAAAAAGAGGTTTTTATTTTATATAAAATGATAGTTATTGCTATAAAATGATGGTTATTATTATTTCTATTTGCTATAAAATGATGTTATTATTTTTATCTGCTATAAAATAGTTGTTATTATTTATTTAAATAAATAAATAATAACAATTACATACAAGTATTGTTGCAAAGAGAGACAATATCAGTTTGTTCAATCAATTCATATTTTATACTTATTTTTTGTGTGTGGATTTTTTCAGATTTTTTTCTTCAAATTATTTCATCACAACTACCATTTCTTTTTGGCGCAGTTGCTTGCTACTTGCATGTTTTTTACAAACTGAACAAACTTTCTGTAGCCCTCCAAATCATCCGAGCAGCTAGAATCTTCCGTATTTAATTGATTACTGTCTTCTTCGGAAACATCAAAAATGTTGAAAGATATTTTGTTTTCCGGATCAACAAGGTTAGAAAGACTCTGATTACAGTCTAAATTAAGAACTATTATGTACGGACCGCTTCTGAATATCTCTGGCTTAACATTGGTGAGCAAAATCTCTTCGTTTCTTCCTTTATGATAAGGCAGATCTTTGTATGCTTATGAAAAAGCTAGTTTTTCGTCTTAATATCATGTGTTACGTTTTAAGCGTTTTATTAGAGTTTTTCTTATACTTCCTTAAACATTTTAGCTCTCCCCCTTCTTTCCTAATTTTTATGAAATTTAAAATAGTCGCAGTTTATACTTATATACTATTTATCCTGCTTTGACATTTAAAAAAAATTGTGAACCTTTTTATCTCGCAAAAGTCTTAAAGTGTTAATTTTAAAGTGTTATTGGATTAATATCCAATGACAATGCGAGATGATAATTTCAGTTTATTGGCATCAAAAACAAGTACGATACGAATTTTCAAAATATTAGCATCGCAATCGCTATCAGCATGTAGCCATAGCCGAACCTTTTAATTATTAAATCTAGGCAAATAATAATTAAAAAAAAAACTTTTTCAATTTAATTTTCAATTTAATCGTAAATAAATTACACAGTTGTATATTAATATACATTATATAATTTCTTTTGGTGTAACTTTATATGGTGTTCTCTTCGTATTCGATTTCAAACTGCAATTCGATCTGTGGTACATTTTAAATCCAATAATATTATTTATATAGGTTTAAAATTAGATTAATATTAAATTATTTGTCTGGAAAATTTAAAGCTAAGTATTATTTTTAGGCTTAGATACTCAGTATGAAAGTCGTTCACAGTTGTCAGAAAAAAAGCAAAACCGTGCACACACTGTGCACTTCGTTATGGATCTTTGAGCACAGTCATATGCAAAATATTGCTTTGTGATTCATTTCGATGTTGATTAAACTTTGACAAAGTTACTTTTGAATCAGAAAAATAAGATTTTTTTTTTTATCCTAAAACTTTGTTTAAAAACTTAAGGAGGTTCTTCATCTGCACTTTTGATTCTTTTTTTTTCATGTTAAGTTTATCGAAGTTTTCATGCAATCATAATAATTATTTTGAAAATCCAGAAAAAAATTCTGTTTTTGTCTAAATTTTGAAGGTGTTTCTCATTTTATGGCGCTCAGTTGAATAAGTATTAAATTAACGCTCATTATATCTTAATGCAACAAGAAAACAGTTTAAATATGCGCATCTTAAATTTTTATGTTACATGTAGTTACAGTTTTCTTTTCCGTTCTGTTCCGTTCCGCAATAAATTTCTTGTAGAAGGAAATCCGCCTTAAAGTAAACCATAAAGAATTTGTGTTTATAACAGTTATAATTGATCAATTGTTCCAAAAAATTCTTTATAATTTTATACTTTAAAATTTTTATTTTTAAAAATATTTCAAAAATGTTTAAGAAGATAACTAATGTGAATTACTCATTCATTTGATTCACTCCATAAATAATATAATGGTTTGGTTACTTAGTTAAGTAAAAGATTAATGCTTGAAAAAAATTGACAAAATCAACTAATAAAAAAATACCTAATTTTTTACCCAATAGAAGGGTAGTAATGCATAACTGACATAAGTTTAACAAACTAATTGCTTTATAGACTCTAAAATTTTGAAACCATTATTATGTCAGTTGTCTAGTCCAAATTAAAATTATAAACTAATTATGCTGTCATAAGTATTATAAAAAACCAATTTGACTGTCAAAACTATTATAATAAACTAGTTATGCTGTTAAACTTGCTTTGTTAATTTTAGTTTTATGGCCAAACTTTCTCAGCCAAAAGTTTTAAAATAACATAAAAGTTTAAAATTACTATATTGGATTAATTAAATATGTTTAAAGTTGTTTTTGACAAAGCTCATATAAACGTAGACTAAGTTTTTATGAGCTTTGTTAAAATTCGTACTTTATAAACAACTAAGTCTTAGTTGTTTATAAAGTACAAATGCAAAAAAATTAAAAATCCTTTTCCGCTGTATAATGTTTAATATGCAGCGGAAGGGGGTTTTTAATTTTTTTTAATCCTAAGATCTTTTAATAGTTCGGTCAATTTTGTTTATTATTTTCATTGCGACGTTTTTTTTAACGTAGTTAAACATTTTATAATATAACGATAGTCATATTATAAAACATAAAAGTATGTTGCAAGGGCAACTTAATTAAAAATTAAAACATTTATTTTCTCAAAACTCTTTAAAATTTTAATTCTTGGAATCTTATATAAACTATTTATTATTTAATAAGTTGTCAGTTGTTAGTAAAGTTATTTGAATAGAAAAAAAAAATTAAAAAAAATCAGTACTCAAAATAAGTATTTATTATTCAGATAACGAATTTTTTTACCCAGGTATGTAAAATATTATTACCTTGGTATGAAAGAGGTAAATGAAATTTTATGTTGGAAATAAAATATCAAAATTAAATAGAGTATAAAATACAGACGTATTGCATGCTTCAAAATGCACTGCTTAAAAATGCACGAATGCTTGCTTAAAATATTAGCTGAATCAAAATATTCAAAAAATATGAAATAATAAACAATTTAGCATAAATGTTTTCACCGACTTTTCATGAGCAAAACAAATATTTAATTTAGTGACCATTGAGTGGAGAGGTTATCTAATTTATTTTTACGTAAAATTTAAGAAAAAAAATTTATGTACTAAGTAATATCCGCTCTTCTATTTACTTTAGAATATCCGCCATTTTATCACGATGAAAATATCTGCCAATCTATTAACGCGTTTAATGATTTGAGGTAGTAAATAACAAGTGTCGCAATACGGTCTTGTTATTGTTTTCATTACTATTGGGGGCACAATGGTTTGTTTTTACTTTGTTCTATTAGGATTCTGAAACATTTTTTTCATTAAAAAAAAAATTGATTTTTAATTTTGTATCAATTTACGTCAATTAACATTAATTTTAAGCTAATATCAAACGTCAGTGTCAACAAATTTCTGTTAACTTCAGCTAATATCTAACGTCAAGCACCTAAAGCGGCCCCACACTACGGTAAATACAATATTTATATTAAAAATAACTTAGTTTCATTGCTTAGAATAAGTACTCACATTAAAATATAAACACGCGAGCGCAAGTATAATTGTTCGCTTGACAACGTTGTAATAGTACAATACACTTATGCTTACGTGCATAATTAAAAGATTAATCGCAACTGGAGAATTTTTTTAAAATATTTCAAGAAATATTGTCATAAGTAATAATTACTTAAAGTTGAATATTCTTTAAACTAATTTTAACTTTTTTTCAATATTATAGACTACTAATAACAAAAACTACCATCATAGCAAAGAATGAGAGAGTTTTTGAAGATTTCTGAGTTTCTCCCAACATTTAAAATTGGGAACGCAATTTACTACAGCACTTTGTAACACGAAACTACTGTCCATTACATTATAATATAAACATACTTAAGGTATAATATATTAATATTATAGCATTTTTGTAACTAATAGTAGGTCATGTAAATCAATCTATTTAAACAAACAACATTAAAAAAAAAAAGTTGTTAAAGGTCATTCAAGTTTCTCATCACAACGTGATCATTCAATTATGCATGATCAAGCTGACACACCAAAATCAACATTTCAACACAAAATGCTGATGTTAGAAATAATTTATGTTATTAAAAATTCTTAATTGAAACACTGTAAATTTTTTATCGTGTGATTCATGTCGGTTTTATTAAACTTTTTCTTGTAGAAACTTAAACTTGATTATACTTTCCTATGTCACTCCATCCCAGATTCTTTAACAAAGTTCCCAACATTGATGGTTTTTAAATTTTCGTGTTGATCTTAATAAAAAAGATGATGATCTTAATAAAAGCTTTATTTTATTAGTTATTTTTATGTTTTTGTTTTTTGTTTTGAAAAAATTTAATTGACGTTATTAAGCTTTAAGAAAAAAATATTTGGAAACAAAGTTTTACATTAATTTTACGAAAACACACAAATTATTTACCTCTTCGCCCCAATTGAAAAAGAAAAAATAACTTTATCCTAAAAGTAGATTTAATTTCATTTTAAAAAATTTCAATTTAAATGGTTTTTTTTATTTCATGTTTGTTTTTTATGTTGTTGGGGTTATCAAGGTTCTTCCAAAATCCTTGCGGTTTTATCACAGAGCACCACGGAAGAGAATTTAACTAAAACCACCGCGCCGCGGCTTCTGTTTAAAAGTATAACTATGTAATGAATGCAACCCTCTCAAATTAAGGTTGTAAACTTTACATGGTCACCGTTTCTATACACAAGATATTTTTTATAATATTTAAATTTTATTAAAACCTTTTGGTTGACTTTTTTTTGACGGAGGTTATAAATGCAAAAATATTGGTGTTTTTGTTTCAGTACTTGTATTGGTTTATTGCCGATTGTGCAATTTAAAAAACAAAAAATAAAAACTGATTAGTTGAAAAAAAATGATATGTTGAAGATGAAAAAAATAATTAGCTGTTAGTTATTTTTTTTAAGCTAGCTTTAAATTAGCTTACATTAGTTTTAAATTTTTTGAAAATATAAAAAATAGTATTCTAGAAATAAATTATAAAAAATAGTATTCTAAAAATAAGTTTAAAAATTAGTTTTCTAGACATTAATAAAAATGATTAAAATGATAAAAATGACTACTAGTTGTTAAATAAAAATATTTTAACTTTGTAATATGAAAAAAAAAATTGATATTAAAATAATCGATAATAGTTATAGAAAACTAACAGTTACATGATTGTGCAAGCAAACGTTAATGCAGAAATAATCAATAATAACAAATAATCTGTTTACCATAACTGGTTAAGGATTCCAAGAGTAGTAAAAAAATATAACTCTTAGATGATAAAATACGTTTGGTATCAATTTTACAGGTATTATGAAATCAAATGCAAATTCCAGTACAGCAAATTTCAAAAAATAAATAAATCATTATTAAGAAAACTGATTACAACCTATCCGAGAAAAACAAAAGGCTGGCGTGCAGTATATTTTATCACGCCGTTTTACTTAAAAAATCAATGGCATGCGATCTGGACCACACGCTACACTTTAAAAAGGGCTAATGCTAAAACGTTTATTTTGGATGTCACATAATCTTTTTACTGTTTTAGTTTTCTTATTATCTCTGCATAGAAAGATCATTAAAAATGCTGAAGTTAGGGTATATCTTCTTAATGAAATACATCTTTACATAGCTACATATTTTT